AGGTTACATAGTGGAAGAAATGCCCAAGGGCCCCGTCAGGTCAAGTCAAGGCCACAGCCAGCTTCTGGCCCAGCCCAACACCAAGACCAAAAGGGAAAACCCCATGACTGCTGATGTGTCCTGAGGAAGAAGAGGAAGAAGAGTTAAGGAGAGAAGCTGAAAGTCTGGGAGTTGCCCGTGCTTAGGAAAGAGTCTGCGTAACCTGTGGGTATAGTGTGAGATGGGGAGAAAGGAAAAGACAAATAAAAGATGACTAATAGTTCCCAGCTTCCCCAGTTTGGGTGTGTGTCCCGCAGGCTGCTGTGTGTCCATTACTGCGGCAGGGATTTTGCTCCTGCTTGAGGCCATGGATCCCACCTGGTTGTCATGCTGGCCTGCAATTGCCCCCGAATCTAGGCCATCTGTCACTGCCCACAATTGGGGGGGGCAGCCTTCAGGGTCTTGATTGGGGGGGGGGCAGAAATTAACCAACAGATAAACTCTATTCTGACTTCTGAGGCTGCTAATGTTCTTCAACGAACAAGCTGTGACTGGCTTGTCCAGCGCAGGACAGAGTATATTAGAGGCCACACATCTAAGCTGGAGTCAAGAGAGTGAAGTTTCCTTCCAACGGTAAGGTTCAACCTCGTGCCCACACCCGGCCTGATGCTATCCTTGGGCAACTCCGCGGCCTCGCGCTCTTTCCACAGAACTAATCTTGGCACGATCTGCTCAGGGATGCCACCCACTTCTGATGGAGGCAGCACTTTTGCACCACAAGCAAATAGAGGCTGAGGTGGAAATTATTATTCTCTTTGACATTCACTCCCCCCTCCCAGCTCGAGCCCTAAAACCCAAATGGGAATTGCATCTGCTTAGATGTCTCTCCTTCCCCGGACCCAGAGATTGGTCCAGGTGGCTCGTCTGATTCCGGGCACGTCAAGCAATTCCTCCATGGCTTATGCTTTCCTAACGAGGAGGGGGAGCATCCCCTCTGTGGTTTGAACCTCTAAAGACATGAGCTGCCGCCACTGGGGCCAAGTCTCCACCATGTGCTTTAGCCATTTTGAGAGAATAAAACCTGAAGAGTGAAAAACAAAGCAAAGAGAAGAAAGGGACCATTGGAGGGCCATGGGGCCCTGTTTCCAAGCATCCCTCAGGCAACGTCTGTTTCAGCCTGGATATAGGACTCAGTGATGGGCTTCTGACTTGGACCTCTACCCGGACAGCCCTGATACGGAGGCCTTTCCCCTGTCAGGTAGTCATGGGTAACTCAGCTCCCAAGTGTTTCTGGTGCTGTTAGGTCCAGCTCTTCATCGTGTTACCGCTGCCTTTTCCCGTGTGGCCTCGATGGCCCCCTGGAGCCTCTCCACTCATGTGCACCCAGCTCCCCGCTGCTACTGTTCCAGGCACTGCCAACCCCCAGCCTTCCCAGTGCTCTACCGCTGCTCTATCGCCTAGCTTACCTTCCAGAACTCCATTCCCCTTCCCGTTTACTTGTTCCCTTCTGTTTGCCCGGACATATATGGGTTTCTTCAGAAAGACTGTAGATTCCTTTGAGGGCAAGAATCTCTTTATCCCAACTCCTGTTGCCTAGTATCGTAGTTCACACACAATAGGCCCTCCATAAATATTTGCTAAATAAATCAAACAAGAATCCCCATCTCTTTGACGGATCATCCTTGACCAGTGGGAAGAAAATGAATAAATTCTCTTTTATTCCTTTGCTAGAGCAGTTTGCAACGCTCACCATTTCACAGGGTGCCCTAACCCCCTCTCTGTGTATTTAATGTCAATACTGTATCGTCACTGTCCTGCGAAGTGATGGCTGGGTGGGTGGTGGGGGGCAGGGAGCTTTGGTGTTCCCATGTTCATCCTGGGTAATGATGAACATTGCAGGCAACACACATACGTGCACAATCTGAGCTAAAGCCTGGTGTTACCATTGCATTTGCACCACAGGGCAAGACACCTCTTCCTGCAGAGAAATTAGGGAATCTCCTTACTAAAGTATTTATATTTGATTTGGGTAACCGATAAATTTAACTTTTTTAGCAAATGCTTGTAGGACACTCCCTAAATGCCAGAGACCGTTCTGAACACTTAAGCTGTATTAAAGTGTTCCTCCTCATGACAGCCTTGCCAAGCAGATATAATTGTTTCCATCAACCTCATTTTGGAGGTGAGGAAATGGGGACACAATGATTAAGGGACTTGCTCAAGATCACACAGTGATTGGTGGTGAAGCTGGAATTGGAAGTAGGCAGGCTGGTTCCAGAACCCATGTCCTAATTGCTGTACCCTGCCGTCTCTCATTGTGATCTGGGCAAGTTCTACCCTGCACATCTGCGCCCTTGGAATTTGGGTTGTCTTTCTCAATCTCCAGGCCCCTTGAGAACAGGAGGGCTCTTTGGTCTGACCTACCTAGCGACATGCTGATGTGTGCTTAATCAGTGGGCTCATTGATTTATTACCTATGGCTTGAATACAGGTTTATTTATGTTATTCTACGTAGTTAATTGTTCACATTGTAATCAACGCCAGTCCTGAAATTTGGCTCCTCAAAATATATTTTCAAACAACCTAGGAACCAAGCCAAGAATTAACTCTAATTACACATTGTACCAGTTTTGAGTACTGGAGATGACTCGAAGGCAAAATATGTGTTATTTAAAATTACTAAACGGATAGTAAATAAAATGGGATTTTGCCCAACAGAGAGATAAAGTTACATGGCCCTCTTTTTCCACTGCCCTTTCAGTAGGTGTCAAGGATCATGGGGGACTTTTTTCCTCATGACTTCTAGACTTTTTCTTGAATTAATACATAATTTTTAGCTGCCCATAAGCCACCACTTGCTGTTCAGCAAAAAAGAATCATATTCAAACCCCTCTCTGTGGGTTCACCTCAATAAAGAGAACAAACACGAAAAACACAAGGGGGAGAACTGTTTATTTGATGCAGGGGTTATTCATAATACAGTGTGGGGTACTTTTTGGAGCCAATTCTAGTTGCTTCAGGATATTTCTAAATTGAATTCCAGGAATAAAGTGTTTATAAATAGTAAGCATAAAAAGCAGATGCATTCATCCCAACCACTTCCTTATGTAGTGCTAATGGCTTCCCTTGCAACTATTAACTCCTTTGGCTAGTTAATTGGTAAACTAGTTAAGTTGGTGGTGCTCAACCTTATCAGACCCAACACCCTGTTTTATAATAAACTTTTTTAACCCCATTTATAATCCTTCCATGAAATTCATGAATAATAAAATCTACATATGCAAGATTTCAACTATAAATATAATGCCTTAACAGTGTTTAAAAGGGAAATAAAAAGAAAGTAATTTATAATCATAGAGTAACCATTTTAATGTGTAAATGCTGTGGTAGTATTGCGATAAGAGAAATAATAGTCTTCACAGACATTTGCACCTGATGTTGATTCATCATAATGTAATATGTAAAATAATATATGATATACAATATATGTAAGAGCAATATAGACTGATCCAGATGTGCTGTATTGATGATTCAAAAATCATGAACAGCATTGTGGACAATGATATCATTTTCCAAACTTATGAACAAATCTTGGTAAAATTTCTAATGATGTATCATCTTCCCTTGATTTACATGGTAGTTATGCAAGTAGAAAATGTGTCATATATCAAAACAGTACAAGCTGCTTTGTGCTTATATGTAAATGGAGTTAGCATCTTGGCTCAGGTCACGATAGGCAAGTTTTCACCTATGTAAATGTTTAGTGAGACATTCGGTAGTTTGCAGGACATATGGAAATGCCTTATTACGCAGAGCTATCCTAAGCACTGTACTCTTCTAGCCCTCCCCTCTAAATGCCAGCAATGTCCCCCAAGCTCGTGTTATTAAAGAACAACCATGAATGTCCCCAAATGCACTCTACTGGGTGATATCACCCACACTGACAACCCCTGGGTTAGTTCCCAGCTTTAGCCCCAAATCATAATTATGTCAATTTATTCTGCTGACTTTTTCTGGTTCTTGAAAACCAAAGGCATGTCTACAGTAAAATCTTTAATCCTTGGGTCAATTTTGAGACTGAGTTCCATGGGAACAAGGGCTCAGTTCATCCAGGACGTACGATATCTAATACCCAACACAATCCCGGGCTTCACTAAGTCTAGTTCAAATAATTTTGAGTAAATAATTTTGGGGTTAGACATTTGGGTTAGCCAAAAGATATGTACTACTTAAATGAAATAGTTTTGCTAACTTTCAAGTATAGGTGACAAAACCTAGAAGCTCACAAGGGAGACTTGTAGTTAAGAATTATTTTAAAATACGATTTCAATTGTTTCTGCTTGAACGAATGACATTAAAAGGTTTGAAAACATCTGGAACCTGTCAAAGACCCAGAATCCTCATGTCATTTTGAGTAGGGAAAGGGGGCATGTTGAGGACCCCGTGGGAGCTGTGGCTTTGGCCTAAGAGGTTTGCTTCATCTTCACAGTGGTCTGGAGGCAGCCGTTATTAACCCTATTTTTACCAAAGGGGAGATTAGACTCCACAAGGCAAATAAGCTGTCCACAGTAAGCCAGTTGGGTCAACAGCAGAACAGTGTTTGAACCCAGAACTGTCTGATTCCAGAGGTTTCATCTTTCCCAAGACATCATGCTGCTCCTCTTTTTTTAAGTGAGGCAAATCTAAGTGTCTGTCTGTTAGGTCTACATCGGAAGGACCATGAATTACAGCTATGTGAGGTCCACCTTAATATCATTTCACTCTCTATGTAGTTGTGGTTGTCCTGCCCATGACATCCCACTTTCCTAGTGGTTCAGTGATTTTTACGTTGAAACCGTTCTTGGTCTGGTTCCATTCAGGGTCTTGTGTGAGCTCCCGTCAGTGGGTGTCTCTGGAGGGCAGGGATGAGGTCTTCTCTGTCCCTGGGTCTCCAGTACCCAGCATGGTGCCTCTCACATGAAGTAGATGTTCTGAGAGTGTTTGTGGAGTTGATTTTAATTGAATGATGTTTCTCCTTTCAGGCCTTGGCCTTACACAATATTTCAGCGGGGCTTTGACCTGGTTTTGGGAGAACAGCCTTCTGATAAAATATTCAGGTAAGTGGCTGTCTAGGGACTTGCTTATGTATGTCTACAAGCCCCATGTCCCACTTTCCACTGAACTTACTTTCCTAGAGATAAAGTATAACCTGGGAACCACGTTTAGCAGTTCTGCCCTCCTCATAACCAAAGCACCGGCCCCACACTCTTGCCTGGTGACACCGTGGAGAACTTGGGAGGGCAGACAACTCTGTTTGGGTCCTGGTTTCCTTCCTTGCCTGCTCTGTGAACCCCCATAATTTACTTAGCCTCTTGGGGCCTCCAGTTTCTGCGTTTGTTAAGTGGGGCTACGTCATATGCCTGGTTCTATTGCTGTGGGGAATATATGAAATAATGCAGGGAGAGCCCCTGGCACAGAAATTGGCACAGAGCAGGCAATTAATGTCAGTTTCTGCTTCTCCATTTTGCATCTAATTTGCACCTTTTTCATAAAATCTTGCTCAAAATGAATCTGTCCCACCCCTGCCGCCTCCTTTTCTCAGCTCTACTTCATTATTATTTTCTTCTCCCTACCACCCTCCTAATCAAATTGGATGTGTCTGGTCCCTCCCAAATTTCTACCGACACACCTGGAATAGCACAAGCTGAAAAAGTCAACAAGCAGAGGAAGGCCTGGGCGCCGCCGTGAGCTATTGGATTTTCATAAAGTTTCATTTGCACCAGGCTTTAGCTGGAATACATGTTTATTGCCAAACTAAGATCTTATCATCCATTTATTCCTTCAATCTATCCGTCACTCAGTGAATGTACAGCACAATGTGCATCTGCTGACTACCAGCTAAGTGCCCGAGATTGCATGTGGCCTGGCAATGTGGATATGAATACGTCTCCCTCTGCGTGCATGTCCCCAGGAAGAGGAAGTCAGCAGGGCTGCAGGAGGGTCTGATGTCAAAGCATGCATTAAGCTAGAGCAAGGCACTATGGGAGGAATGGGGAGCATTGTGAGGCAGATGGAAACCTCATTTCCTTTTCCCTGCACTCCTATAATATGCTGAATCTAATGTATTCACTGCTCCCTTTCCAGGCCCTTCCTTCCCCAGACCCTCCCTGTCAGCCAGTCCTGGCCTAGGTGTTCCTTTTGCTCCTGCATTTGCCACCTAGAGCCGGGTCCTCTGCCCCAGCTGCTCCCGCCCCCACCTCCCTGCTGGCTCCAGATGGACCGGGTTTGGCCCCTGCAGTGTTCTCTTAAGGCGTGCTCTTAGCCAAGAGCGCAGATTTACAGAATCACTTCCTCACAGGGCCTCCCCTTGCCTTTTTCCCTCTTGAATGTCTCTCCCCAGGGAGGCTGGGTCACATTAATGGCATTGGCCGGAGGCTGCTTTTGAGGATTTGTGCTACACAAGATGTCAGCTATATTCCTTAGACTACGACTTGGGCATTTAAACTTTCCAACAATGATTTATCATTTGGCTGACTTTTTTCTCTCGTTTTCTGCTGCTGGTCTGCGAGGACCTTCGAAGGGTGTTAAAGATAAGGCAGATGGAGAACCTTGTGGAGTTTGGCTGATTAATGTGGATAAGTTTCCTCTCCCCTAAAAGTCAGAAACTAACACTTTGAAAAACAGGGACCTTAATGAAATTGCTATTAGAGCAGAACCTGCACAAGAACTGTGTTTCCATCCCCACAAGCACCATTTATTCTTTTCAAGTTTGTTAGCTGCCAACTGGATGTGATACCCCAGCCCTTCCGAGGGGTCAGTTGCATGGTTTGACCCTTTCAGTCAACTATTTCGGGAGCCCGTGCGGTAATCAATCATGTTGGTTCCTGACGTGACAATAACTAGTCTCTCCGTCAAATGCAATGGGTCATGATTTACGTGTTACAGGTATTAGGAACTTTAATTGAAACCACTCTGGGATCTGAGTAAACCAACTACCAGTGGCTATTCTGGAAAACTCTATGACCTGGTCAGTGACCATAATCTCTTAAAGAAGCTAAGGACTATTTACTTGCTATTCTGCTCACCTATGATTTAGTGTCCTGATGAATTCCAAGCCACTGCACATTTCTGACGTTTGTCTTTCCACTGTTGAACGTCAGTGTACAAGTCTGTATTATACGTTGCTCTTCTCCTGTGGAACCTTCTGTTCTTAGTCAAATCTATTCCCTACCTGATCCACTGTCCCCAACAACTTGAACAGTTCCTACTCTGCACTGTGGCTCATCCTCTTTCCTCTAACAAGAATATGTATTCTCCTAATATAAACACTACCCATTTTCATGGTCTACACCATTGCAAGAAACTGGTTTAGATGCTCTGGATTGATCAAACAAATATGACTGACATAGTCCCTGACTTCAAGGAATTTACAGTTTCATCCAAAAATTGTTCTCCCACCCTGGTCCTCCAGGAGAATCCCAATCCCATTCATTCAGAAATGACCAGTGATTTTACCCGGCACAAACCAATTAATTGGAAAGTTCTGAGATGTGGGACCAGGCCATAAATGTTCTTTCAAAGCACCATGGTAATCCTGATCTCTACCCAGGATTGAGAAATGCTGTTCGAAAGCTTCTCCAACCCACAATGACTTTCCCCCCTCCAAATATCTGTAATGTAGTGACTGTAATATTTATGTGTCAGTTATTTTATCTCATGTTTATTTTTATTTGCCTATTTATTTCCCCAGTGAAATGGTTGTCTTCTTGAGGGAAAGGGTAGTACAATATATGGCTTTAAATATATAACATCTAACACACAATTTGGAACACAGTAGATTTCTAGTAAATACCTGTAGTTGATCGTTTCAGGTGTTTCCTAAGGACTTGAAACCAGATTAATAAAGGACCTTGATACCCAACCCAACCTTAGTAATCTGCAATCCCAAAGAAGCTGGGAAGGGCCCAGGCTAGACTCAAAGGGTCCGAGGAAGCTGAACCTCCAGTTAAGTCTTCTCAGCAAACCCAGTGTGGTCCCAGAGATGTCTTTTCCATTGTGGCTAGGATCATCCCATTCCACTAGACCCTTTGGTGAAAGGGATTGGTGCAGACCAGATTTCTCTCTCAGAGACCGTCCTTCCCACATGAGTACATGTGTCACTGGGAACAACAATTCATCCTGGACTGGCCTGCTCTGGAGAAGAGTGGAGATGCCAGGCCAAGAGCTATTCATCCATTTCCTCACATTCTCTTTGATGCCAAGCCGCAGTGAGTGTATAGACTTATTCTGTCCAGCGCTCTCTGGCAAGTGTTGACCTCTGAACAGAAGTTTTAAGCTAGTTCAACAGTGTCATGTGCACGACTTAGGCTACAGCTGAGCCATCAACCGCAGTGGTCACCACCAGCTGTCACGAGAGAAGGCCCAACTTGGGAAAGCATTCCAGATGCTCTCCCAATTTCTCTTTGGTGGCTTTTTGAAGTCACTCCTGCCAAATCTGTATGAATGAGGGACAGATGAGATTTCAGGACACAGCTTTTTCTCTGACAGTTTGTTCTATATTTGGTTTTTGGAGTTACTCAGTAAATTTTGCAGAGGGAAGAAAACTTTAGAATCTCATAGACATGAGCCAGTATGGGCTGGAAAGCTCTGTGAGCCTTACTTAGGTACACCAAACCCCATCTTTCCTACGGAGAGGTGACCTTTGGGAGGTTGCTAAGCTCCTTACAATCTTAATTGACAAATCAGTGAAATGGAGCCAAGTGACCAACCTCAGAGGACTGTTGTGAGGATAAATGGAGCAGCTCTACAGAGCACCTGCCATGTTGAGATTTCTCAAGTGAGGTTAGTCTCAGCCACACCTGACTGCTTCCTCTGCAGGTTTTACCTTGGCCCTACCAGAGATTGAAGATCACACTGTTTTTTCTTGCTAATGTGGTCCAGGTTATATCTCAGAAACTACTGGGCACTTTGCGAATTCCTCACGACGTGAAACCCAGATCCTTCTTGACCACTAAATCCATTCACACCCAGAGATTAACCCCTGTCCTGCTCTAAATGAAGGATAATCTTCACCATCACTTCTACTTTTAAATTTGAAAATGGAGATGATATCCCCCTGCAGACTGTGCAAACCAGAGAACATAACTAAATCTCCTTATTGATCAGTCAATAAATATTTATGGAGTGACCCCTACCACTTGGGCCAAAAATTTGTGTTAGGCAGTGGGAAAACAAAGATGCCATCCAAGAGAGCACATTCTTCTGAGTGGTGACACACAAAGGAAAAGGTGGGCACAATTCAACATCTCTGGGGCAACAAGGGGCCATGTGTGTGCACAGAGGAGCGTCCCTTTCTCAGCCTGAAGTTGAGCCTGAAGATCCCGGAGGGCTTTCTGGAAGGGGTGGGAATTTTAACTGAGTTTTAAAATGACTGGCATCCAGCAAAGAATAAAGGGAAGCAAATTCAGAACGGATCGTCAAGAGCAAAGGCAAAGAGGTGAGAAAATGAAGGTGACTTTAGGAACGACAATCAGCTTGCACCGTAGAAGCACAAAGTGTGAGGCAGGGTTTGGTGTAAGGAGAAGCTGAAGAAGTGGGTGGGAATGGCATCTTTGAAGATGTAAACTTTGCTCTGTAGGTCTTAGATGCATTGAGCAGCTTTAGCTGGAGAAAAAGGTAGCTTCCTGTTCCCTTTGAGTTGTTGCTGCGTGCAGAGGAAGGGAAAGCTGAAATGGAGGGACGTGGGACTCTCTTCCAAAAGGAAAATTAACCATCAGAAATATGCTAGAACTGCCAACTGTTTCCTAAAACCTGTTTCATAAATTATAAGCTACAGGTCCCAGATTTGTTGCTCTGCATTTGTGCAAACTTGTAATTTTATAACCAAAATAGAAAACAGAAATTCACCTCTATGTCCAAATAAACAAATAAACTGCTTCCTCCTGGTACCATTCAAACTTGCGTATGTTCCCTCGGAAACGACAGATTATTTATAATATTAGTGGTGCCCTCAGCCCAGCCTGCCTACTGTAATGTTGCCCTCAAGAATGTCCATCCTGAAATGCAGGGTCAGCACAACTACTCACATGTTGTTGCCTTCCACCCACTTCAACCCTGAGTTCCAAATTCCAGGCACTTTGGGGCAATCACTTGCCCCGAATTGGCTCTTTAATCTTGCCAGGTGAGGGAGGGTGCGTGCATGTGTGTGCATGTGTGTGCGTGTGTGTGTGTGTGTGAAGGGGCTGGCGCCTTCAGTTTTGGCAGGTGTCCTCTTCTGTCCCCTACTAACGAGCCTCCCTCACCTGGTGCAGACCCCTCCCTGCATCCCTGCACAGACCTAGCCCCAACTATTGCCTTCTGTCCCCAGGGCTGGAAAGAGTTGAGGGCCTCCTTCAGAGAAAGAGGCACTGTTGATATTTCAGTGCTGCTTAATGGGGCGGAGATTTGCCCAGCAGGTCAGAGAAGTAGGGGGACCAAGAGTGAGGTTGGGAATGAGGGCACCATCTCCCAAATCCTGGCCACATCCCACTTGCTCAGTGGTTTTGCCTCTCCCCTGGGCACCTGCCTTCTCTTCTTTCAGCCGTTCTAGTCCTAGGACTGTCATTCAGGGAGTGGGTGAAAATCTCGCGAGCCTTGGTTTATGGGTGTTCTCTGAAGCCAGCATTCCAGAGCGCTACATTTCTCATAAAAGATCTCATGCCATCAGTCTGGTTTCCTAGCATCTCTGGCAACCCCAGGGAGTGGAGAAAGGAGTGTGTGGGTTAAGGGAGAGGTAAGAGCGAGATTCTGAAGTGGGGCTCTGTGACCAGCATGCTGATCAAGCCAGGGCTGGGTTCTTTTTAATTGTAGGCATTCTTCAATTGTTCCTCCCTCCGCATTAAAGTTGGAAGGGGCCGCCAGACTGCCACAGCCTTGTGATATCCCACCCACACTGGCTTTATCCCATAGACTATTTTTGACTGTGAACACAGAGTATTTGAATGCCTTTGAAATAGAATGAATGAATAAATAAACAAATAATCTTTCATGGTTTCCTTAAGCTCTCCCTTGAAATGCTGATTGATTCTTTTATTCCTTTTAGCCCCTGTTATAAGAATTAAAAAAAAAAAAAACAAAAAAAACACAACACAATCTCCCCTGACTCCCGACGGTTCCCGCCATTAGCTGACGGTGTGGGTAGGAGTTCGGAGAATACATCCAGGTTTGTTCTGTTCATCCTCTTCTCCTCTCCCTGGGGCTCCTGGCTTCAGCTTTTCCGTGTACATCACACAACAACCAGAACGCGGGGAGCTTCTCACTTCCTTTCCCCTGGTAGCGTTTCTCCAGGTACAGAGAGCAACCACCACTACCCCTGAGTGCGCAATCCGAGGATGCGGATGGTGGGAGGCCAGCCTGTCGCTTCAGTTAAAATGCTTCCAGTTATATCTGACTTAGGATTGAAGAAGTCCAGCTTCACATCTGAAGGAAACTGGAATTGGATTTCCTAGGGCTTGGTAAAAACCACTTCCAACAGCTGGTGAGTGGGTGCCACCATCAGTTCTCCCAGATGGCCAGACAGGTGCGCAGGAGTAGGCCTCTCTGCCTCCCTTGGGCTCAGTCGTCTTGTCCACAGAATGGCCGTCAGCTCCCTTTTCTGAAGAGGTGACGAGGGCTGAGAAGGAAGCCCGTGACAGCAGAAGGCTCGGTCCTCCAGTGGGCTGCTGGTCCCCGAGACGTAACCACCTGGTATTGGGTGTCCCTGCAGATTCACCTACACCCTTGGGGAGGGCATGTGGCTGCCCCTCAGCAAGAGCTTTGTGATTCCACCGGCTGAACTGGCCATTAACCCTTCCGCGAAGTGTAAGACGGACATGACAGTGATGGAGGATGCTGTGGAGGTCAGGTGCGTCTGGGCCCAGGGAGCCGAGGCCACACTTGGCATGGGGAGCTGAGTGAGGAACTACCTGAAGGCCCAAGGAGCTAGGGAAGGAATCACAAGAAGCTGAAAGGGGAAGTTGGCAGGCTGCCTTCCGATTCCCAGTACGAAGTGCCAGGATCTACTCTATCTGGGTCAATATCGCACACCCCAAGGCTCATGCTCTGGGAGAGGACATAAAATTAGAGTTTGTAAGCACTTCCCACATCCCCTAAGGACTGACAGGCAATAAAATGTTAATTTCCTTGCCCACGTTTAGACCTCCTTCTTTGACCAGGCGTTACAGCCTTGGCTCATTTCCCAGATATGGAGAATGTCCATGATTTGTTAGTTCAAGGCTCAGAGTGTGGCTGATCTTTACTCTTTGTGAGCGAGAGCGAGACGTGACGCGGCTGACTAGATAGGAACTTGGAATGTGATGCTACTTGTTGCGCCAGAAGTGCCCTTGACTCCTCCCCCCTCCCCCCCCCCCACCCCGTGTCTCCCCACAGGGCCCCCCCGATGACCTCGTCCTCCTTTGACAGCCTGGAGGTTCTGCTGGATTCCTTTGGGCCAGTGCGCGACTGCAGCAAGGATAACGGGGGCTGCAGTAAGAACTTCCGCTGCATCTCAGACCGCAAGCTGGACTCCACTGGTTGCGTGGTACGTCCGCCCCATCAGTTGGGGTGGGGGAGGGGCACAGGGTAAGAAGTAATGCAGATACATAGATGAAAATACACTGTGAGAAGGCGCCTGGCTGGCTAGTTGGCAGAACATGCGACTCTTAATCTTGAGGTTGTGAGTTCGAGCCCCATGCTGGGTGTAGAGATCACTTAAAAATAAAATCTTCAAAAAAAAAGAGAGAGAAGGTCAAAAATGATCCCTCTCTAGCTGTCAGCACTGTCTAATCTAAATTACGAGTTTTCTCAGGGCACCTGGGTGGCTCAGTCGATCAAGTGGCTGACTTTTGTGTTCGGCTCAGGTCACCATCTCAGGGTTGGGAGATCAGCCCGGGGTCAGGCTCTGCGCTGGGCATGGAGCCTGCTTAAGATTCTCTCTCTCTCTCTCTCTCTCCTCCCCCACCTCTCTCTAAAAGAAAGAAAGAAAGAAAGAATAAGGAGCACCTGGGTGGGTCAGTCAGTTAAGCGTCTGTCTTCAGCTCAGGTCATGATCCGAGGGTCCTGGGATGGAGCCTTGCGTGGTCCAGGCTCCCTGCTCAGCGGGGAGCCTGCTTCTTCCTCTCCCTCTGCCTCTGTCCCTCCCTCCCCCCTGCTTGTGCTCTCTTTCTTTCCCACAAATAAATGAAATCTTAAAAATAAATAAATAAATAATAAAAAAATAAATTATGAATTTTCTCTTGACAGAGATGAGAAGCTAATCACCAGTCAATCAAGAAATATTTATGGAGCACCTACTGTGTGTACTATCAATATCCTAGGGAAATTTCATGAATTACATAGCAGGATTCTTTGTTTCCAGTGTTACAATCTACTTGGTGAGGGATACCGCCAAACAATTCGAGAAGTAATTAGCTGCTGAATAGTATGACACTGACTCTGATAGGAATTCGACTGTACTGACTGTAATAAGAAATTCTACCTTTGTCTTGGGTCAAATGACTGTAGCAGGAGATTTGAGGAGAAACCTACCTAAGGCCAGAATGATGAAAGAAGTAAGTTACGCCAGAAATGGTAGAGAAAAATAAAAGTATGTCTCCTTTGAGACCCTGGCAATGAACTCCTACTTCGCCCAAGGTGATTTTCTACTTTGTTATCAGCTATGGGAACTAAAACATGGGATGCTAGGACCTAGAAAGGCCATTTGGTTGAGAGTGTGCTAAGGTCGTTCCTGCACTGTGGATGAAGAGTGACTGAACCTGGCAGGTAAAGGGAGGCAGGAGTAGATGAAGCCCTCAGCTGCTGGTGCCTTTCCATTGGCATGTTTGTGCCCCTCAACACTGTTGTCTGTCGCCAGCCCTCCTCTCTTTCAAGGGTGGAATGATGCAATCCTCACAGAGAGGAGAGGACAGAGAAAGAAGGCAGCAAAGCCAGATATCAAGCAGGCGTAAAGGAGAGGGAGGTCTGGTTCATGGAGACGCGTAGTTCTGCAGTGTTTCTGGGGCAGGGCCAGGAGCCTCCAGCTCAGGGAAAACACGGTGCCTCCCCCCGCTTCCCAGTCTCCCAGCTGTGCTCCAGTAAGGGGACCCGGAGCAGGGCAAGCTGTGAGGAGGCTGGGCCAGTCCCTCTTTCACACACCCCCTTCCCCCTCTCTGAGCACTTGCTCTGTTCCCGGAGCTGTGCTCCATCAAAGATGGATGAGTGCCTGGGATCCAGGGTGGGACTGTCTCAGCCCTAAGGCCTCCCCATGCTTTCACAGATTAGGCAGCTGCTGACTGGAGCTTGATTCATCTGAGGAGGGAAAGAAAGTGAAGGAAAGAATAGGGAGAGAGCGGAGGGGCAGGTAGGCGGAGACCTGGTCAGTCCATCAAAGGAAGGGAAAGCGGAACAGAGGACCATCAGGAAAGGACAAAGAAAAGTGTTCTGTAGGTTCTGTCTTCCAGAGGCAGCCAGGAGGTAAGGTGATGGCCCACAGCGCTCCCCTCCCTTTGGCCAGTCCACTTTCAGATGTCTTAAAGAGGGAGCTTCCCAACCAGGTCCCTCAGGAGACAATTTCACTGTCTAATGGAGCTTCCAGCTGAGACACATTTTCCCCTCCTATTCAACCTGCATTTCTTCATTCAGATTTCAACCTTTCATTCCTCACTCCTCTCTCGCGGGTCATTCTGAGTCCTGAAACACTGTGTGTGCACATGCGTGGATTCCTCTCCCCACCCCAACCCTCCCCCATCCCGGCTGGTCCCGGATGAATTTGAGCGTGCTCACACCTTCGTACGCATGCACACATACGCTCTCCGTCTCCACCCACCTCCCTGCCCCTTTGCCGAGCCCCGAAGGGTTGCCTGTCAAGTGCCTTCTGTCGGTGATCCCAGCCCCTTTTACTTGGCATACGTAGCCTTGCTGGTATATTTTTGTACTTTTAGCACTGTAATCTGTGAGACGGAGCGAGCAGGAATAGTTCCAATGAATATGCATTTGCAATAAGTCCGCTGCGTTTTAGAATCGGAGCCACTGCTGAAAGTCACCCAATTAGACCAGTGCTTGAGATTAGCATAATACTTTGAAGTCACTGGTCCACGTCGGCGGTTGGAGGAAGGAAGGGCCCACTGGCTGGCAGGCCGTTCAGTTGACTTTTTCCTTGGCCATAAAGCACGTGATCCCTGAGACAGGAGGACTGATGGGGTGAGACATGATGTGCCATATCATGACCCCCAGGATCGTCCTGAGAAGTAGATCAGGGGCTGAGCTGGACATCAGGACGGTTCCAGAGCCCTGATGCGTTAGCAGAGCAGTCCCGGGTCATCTGGAGGTGGACTGGGGACAGCAGAGGACCTGGCTCCAAACTGCAGTTCGGGAGAATTGCGTTACGGTTCTCCACTCCACGGAAACCTGCCATTCAGTTAGTTCTCTGGGTGCTGAACTGAAAGCCTTCTCAGGAAAGATGTGTTTTCATGAAAGGAGAAAGAGCTGAGGAACTCAGAAGAACAACCGGCCCCTTAAGGAACCTGGGAAAGTGGCAGAAATGTGGGACAAGAAGATGCACCCGTGTTGTATTTTACTGATTGGACGCCAGTCAGGCAGGTGGGGCTGGTGCGCCCTGGCCGCCTCAATCTTCATTCTTTCGAGGAAGGCAGGACACGTTTCTCAGTTATGCATGGACACCCACAGGGTTAATTGCTACCCAGTTAATTGCCCTATTGCTTCTGTTGTCTCTGAGGGCAGGAGACAAATGGCCCATGAAAGGCACAGACCTGTAGAAGCCACAGTCACTCTGTTCCAAACCAGACCACCCTCCCAAAGCAGGGGTTGGTGATTCGTTGGGAGGGTTTCCAGAGCAGAGGTCAGCCACCCACTGCTGATAACTTGGGTCTTACTTCTACCCATTGTCCTCACTGTGCCAAGGTGGGAAGCAGGAGTCCCTCCCCGGAAAGCACAAAAGCAGGGACTTTGTGATCTGTGAAGTTCCATAAGGTCCTGCAGAGTTACTGTATTAGTGTCCTGTTGCTGTTGTAACAAATGACCGCAGGTTTTGAGTGGCTTCAAAAAATACTCATTTATTATCTTACAGCTCTGTAGGTGAGAATCCAACACGCGTCTCATGGGGCTAAAATCGAGTGTTGGCGGAGCTGTATTCCTTTCTGGAGGCTCCAGGGGAGAAACCATTGCCTTGTCTTTTCTAGCTTCTAGAGTCTGCCTTCAGGTTTTGGCTCATGGTCCCCTTCTTGCATCTTTAAAGCCAACCACATTGCATTTTTTCTGGCCATTCTTCTGTAGCACATGCTCTCTGATCTTCTGCTTCCCTCATCCACTTTTAAGGACTCTTGTGATTACATTGGGTCCACCTGGATAATCTAGGATAATCTCCCCATCTCAACCTGACTTGCAAAGCCCCTTCTGTCATGTAAGGTGACATGTTAATGGGATCTGGTGGTCATACTGCTGACATCCTTGGGAGCCACGGGTGGGAGATGGCATTGGGATTGGAACAGACTTGCTAGGCAGGACGCTGGTCCCTGATCCCAGCTTGAACCAGGGCATCCTAACTCTCATCAAGCCTATCTGTTGAGGTTTGAGTTAAAACTTGGAAAGTTTGAAAATTATTTCCAATGCTATAAAAAAATGGAAAGCCCGTGCTCCTTCCTCATCTTCACACTCATCCTGAAAGTGGCCAAAAGATGCCTTTGCTTTGTGCGCTATCTGCATGTGCTTAGGTGAGCAGACCGTGGTCTTGGAAGGCAAGAGGTCGGTTGTCCCGCTTTCTTGTGTAATGAACACATGACCTTCCCTGCCAGAGCATTATGCTCTAATGAGCTTTGAATTACCCAGTGACCCTGCTGCCCTTCTGTCCACATGCTGTCCACAATGGGTTCCCACGAAATGTGTCATTTTACCTCTACTGGAGCGCAGATGCGTGGAGACCATTACAGATGACCTTATCTCTTTCTTTCTGTAGGACAGTAAGCCCAAGCCTATGCCTCAGAGGCGTTCAGGGAAACGGGGGCAGGAAACTGAAACATAAATTTAATCCCATCGAACTTTCCCCTTGGGAGAAGTCTTGCATGGCTTGGGCTTGTGTGTCAGAGCCCATCAAAAAGTCAGGGAAATCATTATTTGTAAAAGGGAGATCGCCATGCAGTAAAAGGGAGCTTGTTTTGAGTAAGGGTTATGGTTGACTATCTTACGAATCATCCAGGTAAGGCAAGGCAGGCTCAGCTGAGGGAAAGTGTTCCTCTTCTTCCAGGGGCCCTGAACATGCTCACGTGTCCATCACTTATATTCATCTGCCAACAGAGCATCCGCCTCATAATCTGGAGGGTGTGTGTCTGAAGGAACTGAAGGGTGTGTGTCTCAGGCTTAGAGAGATTTGACTAGACTCCTATGTAATCAATCAACCAATAATCATTGGTAGCAAAAGAGGGGAGAGACAGTGAAGAAAAGGAGTTGAATGGGGGAAAATCATTTTAATCTCATTAGCAAATGATGCCTTAGACCAGTAATAAGTCAAAAAGCCATGAGCATCTCATGAAAGATGATTAACCCTGTGTATTTTAGGGGTCACTAAAATATGAGCTCATTTATTAGACCTTCTTGATGGGGGAGGGTTGTTGCCATAATAAATGGAGTTTTCTTTTTAAGCCTGTAGTTTATAAAGGCTCTGGGACTGTGAAATGTAACCTATGCAAAGAGGAGTTAATGTATGACCTTGGGGCTCAATCCTGAGCAAACAGTTCTCTTTTAAGGAATAAGTGAAGAGATTGTCCACCAGCCAGGAGATGAGAATGGCCAACATTTGCAACGAGAAAATGTCAGCACATCCCGGAGACAGGATTTCTCTCCCGACAACTGGGCTCTGGCTGCAAATAACTTCTAAGAAGAAGGCATGGTTTGGAGCCTGTGGTTTTCTTTGTATTCAGATGCAGATTTTGAGGAGTCCAGAATGTGAACACAACAGTACAAGGAACATGTAGGTGGAAACAAAAACAAACTTACACCGTGGGAAACCTGATTGATCAGACCCCTTGGAGAATGGGGCTACTGGTTCAACCAGGGTTGAGAAGAAAACTCTATTTTCAGTTTCAGCCTTTTTTTTTTCCTGGAAATCTTTCAAAAATATTTTTCTCTGAACTGCAGACCAAGTAAGTTACAGTGCAGTGAAAGATAATTGCATCTTTTTCAGTGATTGAGGATCTTGTCTTGCCTTCAGGGTCATCGCTCTGGACATTTTGAGTGTTTCTGCCTTATAAATATGTGCAACCCTAATATAGTGTGTGTGTGTGAGAGAGAGAGAGAGAGAGAGAAAGACAGGGGAGTGAGAGAGACACAAAAGAAAGAGAAACAGGGAGAATATTAGGCTAAACCTACAAATCCATAATTGATCCCAGAATGTACTCTGGGAGTTGCTCAAAACAACCAAACAAACAACAAATCTACAGGATTGCTTTACCTGTTGACGTAGTGAATTGACTCTATTTCTTTAGGGATTCCAGTGAATCCACGTTTTCTCACACCCGAGAAGCAGCACAGCAAAGGAGAAGAGACAGACATGAGCTTTGGGGTCAAAGAAATCTAGGTCCAAAATCTGATTCTGCCATTTGCCCCCTCTGTGACCTTAAACCAGTTACTACTTAATCTAAGTTTACTCCTCTGTAAAATGAGGTGAAAGAAGTCTTTCTGTGTTGTTGCCATTGAGGATAACACATACAGATTGTCCTGCACATAGAATGGCTTAATCCCTGACAGCTGTTATTATTATTCTAGCTTTGCTTGTGACAACAACAACAACAACAAAAATCGCATCTTGGGCAAGGCAGCTAAGCATCTTCTCTCCAAATCTCCTAAGAGAGTGTAAATATCAGGTGGTCTAATTTGGCAAAGCAGTGGGCATCTAAACATCAGGGCCAGGCAAGATGTGGGTATGCGAAGCTTTGGAATTCTGGAACAAAGCCTGCTTGGGTTTCATTTGGTGAAGTCTTTGTCAGAAGTCATGCTTGATGGAGCATTGTGGAAAAAAGCAGGTGGCTAGGAAGATGGGAGTCCTGGCTGGCGTGCTAGCTGATGCAAGCGTTGAAACCCCATGAGGTGGGAGGACTGGCATGGTCTCTACTTTGATGGCTTTTCTCAAGCTCTATAGAAGGGAGAAGAGAAAAACAACTCATGGCAACCAGGGCAGCCCATTTAATTCCAATCAAGCTTCCACATGCATGCCCGGGCAGTCTCACAGTGGTGAAGCCAGCTCCCTTCTGGTGGCACATCTGGCCTAACAGCTGGATGGCCAAGGAAGTGGATGGGTGGGGGCGCCAACAAAACATGAGGGGCCATCCTCAGCCACCTCATTTGCTTGTTTACCATCATCTGGAACATCTGGGTTTGCACCGCATGGGGCAGCCCTTGGAAGCGACTTTAAATGCCCTCACCTTCCAGCACTCCAGCTCGCTTCATGCAGAGGAAGGGGATGGACCAGCCTGGGAGCCTGGCGGGCCCACAGAGGGGCCATTTGTTTGGGAAATTGCAGAATTAGTGTCATCAAACAGTGCATATCCTGCTGTGATCTTGCGGGGAGGGGAGGTGGGTTTTCCGGGGCACACCTGCGGCAGCTCCAAGCTGCTAGAGCCAAAATGCTCGGCAGTCGAGAGAAAGAAACCGCCAGGCAGCAGGGCAGGAGGGAGGGAGGGCGGGGGGGGTGGGGCGAGGGAACACTGTTCCACCAAGTTTTGAGAGTCGTTTTCGGTTTGGTTTTGGTTTTGGGGGAGTGTGCTAATTAGCTGAAAGTGTGTGTATAGAGCAGTCATTAAAAGCAGGTTAGATTTAGACAGACCCCCAGCTCTGCCCCATACTAGCTGCTTGACCCTGGGCAAGCGATTAGCCCTCTAGCAGCCTGTGTGGAAAGATCAGCTGTAGTGCAGATGTGCAGGATCCGTTGAACAGGCGGAAGAAGCAGGAAGGCAAAAAATATTCTTTGACTTACTTGGTGGGCTCCAGGGCAGTGAATTCACGCATTAATTGGCAGTTTGTTAATGGTTTCCAGTTATTTGGTGAGGCTAATACAGGGTGCTGTAAGGTGAAATACCCAGAGTGCCAGTGTAATGCCCAGCTCCCACGATGTGTTCAGTAAACCGTGACTGTTTTGTGAGGGGCTGATCGTGGAGTAAGCCAACGATGGGCCAGCCGAGTCCTGGCTCCTATAGCCAGCCTGCCAAGTTTCATGTGTGGTCTTGCCGTGATCAGCTGTGGGATTTTCACAAAGTTAGGTTTTCTGTGCCCGCAGTTTCTTCACATGTCACATAGGGCTGATCATACTGCATACTCCAGGGGATGTTTCAGGGGCTGAATGAGTAAGACGGATGAGTGAGACCCAGTGCACGATGGGGACTGCCGGAGAGCCCCTGCGGCTCTCTAAGCCCCTTTGTCTTCCCCAGATTCTGGCTGACATCTCTTGCTGGATCATCTTCTTTGCTGGCACTCCTGGGGAGTTTACTGAGGACATAGCAGTGCAGAGAAGCAAATTCTCTCGCAATAAGAGTGTCCAGGACACTGGGCTAAAGCCCAAACCCAAGCGCAGCACCCATGGGTGCTCATGTAGCAGATGGCCTTGTCTTGCGTCTTCTGCAGGTTGTCCCTGAGGCAGGGAGGTCATGAGTATGGCCACTTCTACCGGGAGAGCGGGCAAACCCCCTCCAAGGTCACAGAGAAAGTCCACTTCCTCCTTCCAGCAGGAAGCCCCCGCCCTGTCCATTCCCTCAGCCCGGTCGGCTATCTGGTACCAACGTTGGCAACGTGTTTGCATGTTAAAAAAAAAAAAAGTCTGATTAATACTAAGTGCAAACAGCAACACTCCCTGTGCTGTTCCATTCCGGCCGCTGCCTCCACCCAGTTGGGAGGCCAGCACACCTCACTCTGTCTTGCTGTGACATTCCCTTCCAGCTTGTCCGGAGGCAGTGGCTTTAATGCAAATGTGTGTGAGATCTGTGCCCAGAGAGAAGCGAGATGTCAAAAAGGTCACTTGCTTTTAAAGGGAGTCTGGTATAGTGGGGAACTCGTGCATTAGTTGCCACTGTTAATGCATTGTTGCAAGGCTGAGCGCTAAAAATAGGCGTCAGTGGTTACGGTTCCCTGAGAACCCAGTCCCCTGATTCACCTCCCCGCGTGGATGCTTTCTGATTGTGCCAGTGCCCGTCCGGACTGAGCCCCATGAAGGACAGCTCTGGCTGCTATGACCGCCACATTGGGGTGGACTGTTCAGATGGCTTCAACGGCGGCTGCGAGCAGCTGTGTCTCCAGCAGATGGCGCCCTTCCCGGACGACCCCGCCTTGTACAACATCCTCATGTTTTGCGGGTGAGTTGAGTGGCCGGGAGGCCCGCCAGCTTGCTGGGACGCTGGACGTTCAGCGTTAAAACCAGGAAAGGAAATCTAAAAGAACCGGTCCGCTCGGCCGGCCCTGAGGCTCTGAGGAAAGAGCCTGCGGGACTGGAAGGGCAGCACTTTTAAATTAAATCAGAGTTGGGAGGACCTTCGGGGAAAGTGTAGCCCCATCCCCGTGGGAGAGGAACCTGACCACAGTCATTGCTTGGGTACACCAGGATTTTCCAGGCTGTGTTCTGTGGAACTATGTTAATGTGTTTTGTGACGAGAGGATTCCGTGGTCCAAAAGCGTGGGAAAGATTGTGTAAAACTAACTAATTATCGAAGAAGGGGAGGGGGAAATCTTTGGAGGAGGGGAAACGTCATTGAATTCTGCCCCTGAAGGCCCACCCTCCCACAGACATGCTAATTCCTCAGCGCAGTTCCTCCACAGTGGGGTTAAGTGGCTCCCTCAAAACTGGGAGGTGGCTGAGGCGCCTGGGTGGCTCAGCCGGTTAAGTGTCTGCTTGTGGCTCCGCCATGATCCTGGGGTCCTGGGATTGAGCCCCACATTGGGCTCCCTGCTCCGAGGGGAGCCTGCCACTCCCCCTGCTTGTGCTCTCCCTGTCCTGTCAAATAAATAAAATCTTAAAAAAAAAAAAAAAGACTGGGAACTGGTAAGTGGAAAGATTAGGATTAGAATTCAGGCCCTCTGTGTTTTGTTTTGTTTTTTTTAAATGTGGTTCCCTCAAAATTTAAATTTACACCGCTGACTAGAATTATATTTAAAGACCATTTCATGTTATATTTATAAAGTAAATAACACTCATAGTTTGCTTGTCTGTCCTTCCCTCCCCTTTCCTTCCTCCTTCTCTTCTGCTCTCTTCCCTGCCCCCCTCCCCCCACCTCTGTCTTCCTGCCTGTCAGGGAGGGTGCATACTTTATGCCACATACCATGTCAGCCACTGGGCAGCACAGATGAATGACGTGCAGTTCTTGCCCTCAAGGATCTCCTACTCTAAGAGCCTGGCAATGAAAATCAATGTTTATAATAACACACCTTTGTTATTTTAGCTCTGTCGCTAAAAGCCAGTGCCTACTGAATAATCAGGACAAGATTATTGGGTGGAGTGGTAATGTTATTTTATTCTACTTCATTGTATTTTATTTCTTTTCAGTTGACAGCTTTTACCTTCAGTTTCTTGTAAAATCCCATTCCATAAATGGAAGCTTCATCTAAATCTTAATGTCTCTATGATGTTATCGTGATGGTTGACCCACTTGAGTTAATAGGGATAGATTCATAAATTCTTTAATAAACATACATTTGAGCACCTGGTTTGTGCAGAGACTCTAGTTGGCTGTTAGATACAGGAGAGACAGTAGGATCTGAGCCCGGTCTCTGCCCTCAAAGGAGTTTACAGTGGGACACACACAGGAACACTAAGAAGAATGGGGGTGTGGGGCAACATGGAAGGGGGAGCTGTCGGGACGCTCAGGAGGGACTGAGAGGGAATCAATCAGCTTCACAGTTCTTTCCAGAAACAGTAAGTTAGGGGTTCAGGAAGGAGCCACTTCACTGTCTTGTCCCAGACCTAGGCTGGTACCATAGAGTCCTTTGTGGATCTCCCATCACACCTGTGGCCTGCATTAATGCGGTGGGTTCCTAACTGGACTTTCTTTCTTATTTCAGTTGGAATTCAGTATGTGTGGGAATTTAGCACACTCCAAGCCACTGCAGATAGCCTGCTAAAGACTTCCTTCACATTTTTATGTAAAGCCGAAATCACCTGTACTTAATAATTAAAGGCCTCTAGTCACACCTGTTTTTTTTTTAAGATTTTTTATTTATTTATTTGAGAGAGAGAATGAGATAGAATAAGCATGAGAGGGGGGAGGGTCAGAGGGAGAAGCAGACTCCTGTTAACACAAATATGTAAGTGGTAAATGGGGAATACAAAGAGTTAAAGTTTTGGTAACATGGACCTCATTTGTCCCTCTGCTGGTAATAACAATAGGATTTGATGAGTATTTGCTCTTTGCTGGGGACACTGTAAGGTCTTTAAGTTCGTTGTCTCATGTGATCTTCTCAACAACCCTTCAGAGCAGCTTTTTTCCCCCACCTTTTACAGATGTGGAAACTGAAACTCAGAGAGTTTCATCAGCTGACCCGAGGTCACCCAGTAAAGGGCAACATCACTGTTTCTCCCCACTTAACACTATGATTATTGGTTCCTCCATATAGAAGAGAGGTCTTTATCTTGTTACAGCAATTACCATGGATAGTAATAAAGGATGTGTTTTAATGTCATGAGCATGTATAAATTCTAAATCTGGTATAGTTTAAGGAGAGACCCACATGAAATTAATATGCTTTTTAAATGACAGGTTTATCAAAGTAGTTCTTGAACTAACAAATTATATTCTTCTCAGTATAACTACAAATAAGGTCCAATTAATGACTTAGAGGTCATTGAGCCATGTTTACCAACATCAGTATTGCTCTTCCATTAGAGTAACTGTACATGCTTAATGGGGAGGGACGCCAAAGAGGTGTTCACAAGGCTTGCCCTAGTGTCTGTTTAGTTCAGGAAGGCTACTCTGAATGGAGGGGGAGTTAATCTGGGAAGATCTTGGGCTTGGACACATTCAAACAGAACACAGTTAGAAGATGATCAATCTTTCTAATTTCTTAGTTGACTTGTCACAGGACTGGATTAGCAGGTTATTAATTTCTTAAGCACAGTGTCATTCCTCTTGCTGCCTAATTACCCTCCAAACAAATGCAGGGTCTGGCCACATAGATGGTCCTGGAGAAAGGTTCTAGAATATCTCAGATTTAAATGTGGTGACTCGCTTAGAAGCTTATCTCCAGTGACTCTTACCCTGACCTATCTAGGAGAGGATCCACTTAGAGGAGGAAGCACTCTAAAGCTCTGAAAGCACTTATCTGCAAAGGAAAAGTGGGAGGTTCTGTACCGTCACATAATGGAAAGAGACTTGGTTTGTAGGCTTAAGAAACTGAGTTCTAAAGGGGATAAAATCAAACTGGGATACTCATCATCTTTACCACCCAGCACTCTCCCAGAGGCCTTTCTTCCCAATCTGTTGGGTTGAGTTGACTGCATAGCTCATTGATGGAACAACTTTTTATCTTGAGTTTCCTACCATGTTAGGTGCATCGAGGATTACAAGCTCGGTTTGGATGGTCGCTCTTGCCAACTCATCATGGAGACCTGCCCGGAGGGAGGAGACTGTGGGGAAAGCAGGGAGGTTCCCATGAACCAGACCCTCTTTGGGGAGATGTTCTTTGGTTACAACAACCATTCCAAGGAAGTGGCTGCAGGACAAGTGCTGAAAGGAACATTCAGGTGAATCTCGTGTCTATGGAACTGGTTACTCAGGGATACTGATGGGTCTTCTTCCCTGAAGAGCTTTAAAGTCAGCGTGAAGTTTTGCACCTTGGAGCAAGGTGAACATGATCCTAAAAGGACAGGTTGAGTTCTTTCCCGTGGTCTTCTCCTCTTTCCAGAACCTGGGAACCATGCTTCCTCTAGGCGAACAGTAGAGTGTTAAATAAATTTCTGTCTTGCCCAGGCAGAGACTACAAGATTTGCCATGGAAGCCACCAGAGAATGCTCAGGTTCTGTTTTGCTCTGTGTGGAAGAATCAGTGTGTGAGTCAGTCTAGAATAGCAGTCCTCAAGTATGGCCCACGGATCTCGAGGGCCCCTGAGAGCCTTTCAGGGGATATTCAAAGTCCTGCCTTTCCCAACTACAGAAAGGCTGGGTTTTCTCCATTCACATCAACCCAAACAATATCTTGCAGTCAGTTGCATGCAGAGGTGAGAATCCAGCTATCTTCTATTAAGTCAGACATTTAAAAAATTTGCCAAAAATATTTTAAAAACGCCACTCTTCTCATCATTTTTCATAATATGTTCAGATTTAGTGGGTTGATTATTGTCATTTTTAGTTGGATTAAGACATATTTCTAAAATTTCTCTTTCAATTTCCAATATGGTAAATATGTACAGATACGATCCACACAAACAAAAGCTACTTGGAGCGTTCATTTACTTTTAAAACTTTTATAAAGGGGTCCTGAGAACAAAATGTTTGGAACCATTGATTTAGAATATTTCTTGGAAATTCTCCATTTGCCCCTGTTCCTATTCTCTCCTAGCTATTAGAGTACATCTTCCTCAGAACTCATGCTTTCCAGGAGATAATGATGATGAGGGAGACGAGGAGGAGGGAGGGAGTGGGGAGGAGGAGGAGAATGTCATAATATGGGCCAGCAATCGATAGCAACCTAGGCCTGGACTCCTATGAGCAAACGAATAGTAAGTATCCAAACCTGTTCTTGGAGTCAGTTGCTGTTTCTGTTACAGACAGTGAGCTTTATTAATATTTCCCCTTTTAGGTTGGGATTTCATTTGCCAGTGGCAAGCAGTAAAGTGTCATAGCTAATCTTGTGGTGCCTAGAATTTTCTCTGTAGTCTAGAAATGAGACTGCATCTGCTTAGATCTTGTGCAGTGGGGATCGGGGAGTAGGGCCTGGGATGGGAGGGAGGGAAGAATGTTCTCGATCTTCTGAGTAGACCTTTTCAGCTGATTTCTTTCTCTTCTGTCCTAGCCCTCACCCTACCTCTCACACCCTGTCCTGCTCCAGACATGTCCATCAAGTGGGTTTCAATGGGAGGGGAACCTTTTGGTCCAGGAAGAATTTTTTTTATTGTAGGTTGAGATATAGATTGCCCACCGAGGAGTGAGGTTCGCCTTAACACTCAGAAATGGAAATCTGCAATCTGCTTCTGTTTCCAGGCAAAACAACTTTGCTCGAGGTTTAGACCAGCAACTGCCAGATGGTCTTGTGGTGGCCACTGTCCCCCTGGAGAATCAGTGCCTGGAGGAAATCTCGGAGCCCACCCCCGACCCCGAGTTCCTGACTGGTGAGTGTGCCTCCTGCCCTTACTCATCTGGCAAAAACCAGGCAGCTCCCAACAGTTTCATAATCTCAAAACTCTTGACATCTCTTGTTTTCATTTTGAAGCCAATGATTTCCTTGATACACAAAAAAAGCTCAATTCTAAAACACTCTAGTAGGATTATTTATCAGTAAAATTGCCAAGATTATTATATAATCATCTGCAAAAGTGGTCTAATAATACCTTTCCCCGCTAGTCTTTTTGGGATGCTTTGAAAACAGATGGCATAATAGATAGGTAGAAGTTCAGAGGTCTCAGTGGATTAGGGGGAGTAGAGTCAGAGAGAAGGTGGACGGCTACCATCACCTAGATACCTGTCACTGGGGCCACTGGGTTCCTTGGCAGGTACTTATGGAGAAAATGACAGAGATTTGTTGTCAAATGACCCTGCCTTTGAGTCATGGCTCTGCTGCTTTCTAGTTGTGTGACCTTAGACAATGCAGTCTCTTGGGGGCTCATGGCTCTTGTCACAAGTTGGAGATGATGCCCCTCAATGCCGTTTTGAGCCCAGTGACATTCTTCCCTTGGGATCATTATGGAATTGGTATGGGTGGATTGGAAGAGGCAGGCGCCTCAGGGAATGCTCTTCCTTTCTGGGCCTCTAAAGACCACCCCCCCACCACCACCCATTAACGCCTCCTGGACCAAACAAGGCACTTCAGAGGGTCCGATGGACCCATAAGGGCAGCCAACCAGGAACTCAGCATCACTTGTTAGAAAGTTGGATGTGAGCTCAGTTCCACTGCTGGTTTGCTCATTTCTCCATTACTTCTCTTCCTTCCTCATTCCATGTCTCCCTTAACTTATCCCTTTCTGTCCTTTCTCGTTCCTTTTCAGAAGAATGGATTGTGCTGAGGGCAAGCCTTTTCAAGATATCAAGTTATGTTTAAAACTTTATTTTAGACCTGAGCCAGATTAGAAGTAGGTCTGTCTGAGGGAGTATTGTGTAGCAGTCACATAGACTCTGGAGCGTAACACCTGGCTCAACTCTTCACTGGCTGTGTGATCTTGGACAAGTTGCCTACCTTCACTGTGCCTCAATATTTTTACCTGTGAAAATGAATATAAAACTGTCTTCCTTAAGGATGGATACAAGGAATAAATAAATTAATATTTGTAAAGTTTTTAGAATAGTTCCTGATGCACAGTGGGATCTATGTTTGTTAAATAAATAAGTATATCAAGGAAGGAAAAGAACATGAACATTCAAAAACTACCAAATAGTGTTTTTCCTATGGAAACAGAGGGAGTAAGAGAGAAAACAACTTAAATATATTCTGGACCAGAAACAAATGTCATCAGAATCAGTTGCTGTCTGAAAGATGACACACTCACACAGACAAACACCCTGAATGGAAAAAATTAAAATACAGCCTTTGGACATATGTCTAAAGCTTCTATCTCTAGTGTTAGAGAATCTAATTTTCTTGTTTCCACATCGTTTGCTGAGGAATACTTCCTGTGTGTGTGTAAAATATATATAAAGGGAAGTGTGATGTGACACACACAAATAGGACAGGTTCCACACCAGAGATATGTGTCTTCTGTTTAAAGACCCACCAAGACCTCACACGTAATAATTTATTGTAGAGGTGAGGAGATTTTACTTCATTCGCTAGGCTGGGAGGACATAGAGTTGTCCTGGATGCTACCAGAGGCTTTTTTGGAGGAGTGCGTGGCTAGATCTGGGAGACATCAAAAGACCACGTTTAAATCTACATCTTTGGAAATAAAGAACAAATCCAAACTGGGTCCTCATCCACAACAGAAATTTCTTTTTCCCCAGTGCCCTTGGACCTCTCCTAATTTGGCATATTTGCGGTAAAAGGAGTAGAAGGATGTCCATATGGATCACTTCCATTTTTCATGGCCTTGAGAAAGTCAAGTCTAACATTTGATGTACAAAGGTTCAGTCTTGTTTTATTTTTTCTTAAAGCCCAGAATGACTAGAAGAATTAAAGAGATGGTTGACCAAATTTCTCCCATATTAACTTTCTAGTTCTGGTAACATTTAAATTATATCTTTCCTGAGAGTCACAGAGAGAATATAGTATCATGTTGTACTAAGTGCTATTATAGGTCATAATCCCCATAAACCTACAAGCTTAGAAGATTTTAGAGCTAAAGTGATCTTCAGAATCTTCAACCTCAGCATTTATAAGCATGGTGGTGTTTTTTTCATGAAAAACCAGTGCTCCACTCATAAATAAGTTTTTTCTTTAAATACATTTGGAAAGACTATAGTATCTACCTCTCAGCAATTTGCAACACCTTAGCTTAGAGAGGCAGGTCCCCAGCAGCCCTATAGTGAAGAACTCCCTTCTACTTCACTTGACCCAGCAATTCCCAAACCTGTTTAACCAGAGAATCCTTTTACACATAATAACTATTTCCATCTTTCAGAATTATTGGTTTGAAGAACATACTGGAAAATATTGATTTATGTGTTTTATCTTGCTGAGTGCTGCTTCCTTCTTCATCAAAATAAGAGTTAAGAACTCTGAGCCTCACTAGACTTTTTGGTGTGACAAGTTGTGTGGAAATAAATGAAGAGCAATCAGATTAAAACAGGTGAAGGCTACTTATTCAGAGCTGGCTATAGCAAAGGATTCAGCCACCATTGCTTGCATCTTGGCCAAGACTGAAGGGCAGACAGAGGAGTAGGAGAGCTTTAGAGGAAACAGGTGAGGGCTTCGGGTGTGCCCTTATTGGAGACTGTTGGCATGTAGGTGGGCCAACTAACTATGGAGGAATGAGGCATTCTAGGCAGATGTTTAGGGGTACATATTTGCCTTTCTCTGGTTGGACCTGAGTTGGAATCAAGAACACAAATCAGGAAAGCTATCAGTGATCAATCAAGTCCTGGGCATGTTGGGCCAATTTTTACAGAGCATATTGTTTGGCTTCCTGGACTGGTCACTAGAGATAGTGGTCTGACTTCTCTAGGTCTGATTTACAGACAGTAGACTAGTTCCTTGGGCTGGTTACTAGAGATGATAGGTTGGTTTCCTGGGCTTTTGGGGGCAGATTATGGGTCAGAGTTCTATTTTTATATATGGTCAGGGCATTACCCCTTTGTATTATAAGTCTCTCAGTTGAGAAAAAGAAGACTCTGGAGGTAGACCAAGGGGGGAGAGGAGGCTGCTGGCCACATTCATGGGCCAATGGATGCCATAATTGCTAAATCTATGTGAAGATTTAGAGCTCTGATCTCTCTGGAACTTCTTCAGGTTCATCGCAAGAAACAGATTTTTAGAACTCTTGGGCATAATACATTTCCATGACATTTCAAATAAAATAGCAGGAGAAACCAATCTTTCTTCCCTCCCTCCCTCCCTCCCTCCCTTCCCCCTTCCTTCCTTCCTTCCTTCCTTCCTTCCTTCCTTCCTTCCTTCCTTCCTCCCTTCCTCACATAGAAGTCTATTCAGTCATTCTTTTTTTTCAAGCATAGGTAGGGGAAAGCATTTTTTTTCTTGAGAAAACAGTCAGAGATATTTTGTTTGGAAAAAGAGTCATTGAGAGATGTATTCCCAAATAATAATAAAATAAAATAAAAACTGGAGCTGATTCCATGTCAAGGGCACAGTGAGAAAGAATCCTATGACCCAGCTAGAAAATATATACTTTAAAATATCCCATTCTTTTTAACTATGGACATATTATCCGTATGCAGGCACAGACATCTCCCAAGCACTGACGGTTCTGCACCTGTCCCCCTGATTCTGGTGGAGCCGAGATGCACTCGGTAGGATTGTTGTTCCGTGACTAAGCAATGGGGCTCAGTTGCTTGGCTCATTGTGGGTGAACATGGGACACCATAATCCCTTCCTATCCCCTTACATCCCTGCCTTCTTTATTTTTTCTTCACTCTGTTGTTCTGAACTAAAGCCCAAGAATTTATAACAAAAGCATCTAGGAAGAAATGGCCAGTGTACACAATTAGTGGTGATGAGGCGGATGACAATTATAGAAGCCATGCATGTACATGATGCTTTATTTTTTTTCTCAGTGTACTTTCATTCCCAGAACTTTACTGGGTTCTGGCAACCTACCTGTGAAGCAGGTAAGATGAATACCTGTATCGCCATTTTTCAGTAGGAAAACGGAAACTTAGGAGTTGCCGGGCCCAAAGTCACAGAGCCGGTCGGAACCTCAGGATTGAAGAGGAGGCAAGAGGTCACCTTAGCTAAGCCTCTCGCTTGACAGCTGAAGCCCCTGGCAACCAAAAGTTCTAGCAGCCAGGTAGCCAGAGAGGAAGTCAGCGGGGGGCTGGCAGCAGAAACTGCCCCTCCAGCAACACGGCCTCCTGGTTTCCTGCCCATTTCTTTTCCCACTAGGAAACAACTCCATTAAAGGGAATGTTTTCCAGTATACTGAAAAGTCTTCATTGATTGGGCTTGCTATTTTTTTTTTAATTAATAGACTTTTTGAAATAACAGCAAGCTGGTGAGCTGACGTAACTAGAGAAGGCACGTTATGTACAATAGTTCCACAAAGCATGCACATTTATGCCCTAATGAAATGTGCCTTTGAGGTATGTGACTGGGGGGTTAATCCTGTAAAGTTCGAATTTCATTTATATGCTTTTAAAATTAACCTAAAGGTGAAAAACCAGAGTATGTAGTAGTATAACTGTTGTCACAAAGCGTAACGCCCTGAAAGAATATTTGAAAGAAAAAAGGTACTGAAAACCTTCTTTTAGTTTCAAGTAACTTATCTTTGATTGCCCAAGATGAAATTTAAGCAATTGATTCCCTAAGCACCCCTTCTGACCTTTTTGCTTTTTGCCTTACCGATAATTATTCCTGTATGATTCACACCGAAATGGAAATTTGGCAGTTACTCAGCTAATTTGATCAGAGTTGACAAGCAGCTAATTAATCCCGCCCCCTCTTCATCCAGTTTATGTATTAAATTAGTTGATTTAGCCTGAAGGAGGCATGGGTCACAATGGCAGGATAATTCAGTAGGTATGTATTATTGCCATTATATTTATACACATTATACACATAATATTTATACACAGTATCTATCTAAAGTTTCTATACATATTGCCATTCTATTTACATATATACATATATACGCATTTACACACATGCATACCCATATATATTTATTCCTATAACTTATACACATAGCAAACGTTAGGCATAGAAATGAAGCTAAAATTGGTTTTCCAAGCTTAGCAAGGTGATGACTAGAATTCAAACAGGACGCCACTCTTTCTCCACGGTGCTCAAGCAGGAATAGCCCATTTTAGCATGTCTGAGCAGCTGCAGGGATGTGTTTGTTGAGAATGACTTTGGACAAGTACCTTGGCTTCTCAGTTCTCCCATTGGTAAAAGGGAAACCACAAATAAAGTGTCTATTACAGTGTCTGGCACATAGATGGCCGTCCCTACAGGGCCACCCTGCCCCTTAATGACTGAGTCACACTGACCCTGTCCCCCCTGGTGAGGAAGAAATCAGCATTATCAGCTTCAGAGTAATTAAAACTTAAATACTGAACACAAATCAGTTAAATGGGACAGAAAAATCAATGTTATCAGGTACGTGAACTGAGTCAATTACTATAGCTATTAAAAAGAGTAAAACTCGTGTGTGTTACAGGAAGCCTTCATATAAATTTACTAAGGGAATATTATAGAATGGTTAGGAACCCCACCCTGTCTCAGATACATCTGGAACTCCATCCTGGCTCCACCTGGTGGCCTGGGGCCCTTAAGCAAACACCCTCTCTGGGCCCCAGTGTCCCTGTTTATGAAGTGCAAATCATAACACCTATCTTGCCATGATCAAATGACTTCTTAGCAAAATGTCTGCCACAGGGGAAGGATTCAATAAGTGGGAGTTGTCACTGTGATTCCAGAAATTCTCTCCATCAAAGAACGCTTTCTCGTTTTCTCACAATGACACCTGCTAACCCGGTAGACTTGGGACCTGTGAATCAATCGCGCACACTGAGCCCGCGTCTCCTCTGTCCCCAGGGATGGTGAACTTCAGTGAGGTGTCTGGATACCCCGTGTTGCAGCACTGGAAGGTCCGGTCTGTGATGTACCACATCAAACTCAACCAAGTGGCGGTCTCTCAGGGTGAGCACGGCAGCAAGCCTTCCCTCCCCCTGTTCCTGGGGCGTGGAGAGCCTTTCCAAGGGCACAAGCCTTTTATCCCATTGTTGCAGATACAGTCGAAAATCTAGCCACTTCGTGAGATACAGAACCTATTCACTCAGATTCACCCTTAAGGGCAAACACCTGGAATCGGATCCTTGTCTAAAGATAGATTAAATTGCAAGTTTTATCTTGGACTATAGAAGTGATGGGAAGGGCAAGGCGGGGCCGCTGAAGATAAACACCTACTTTATCTTTCTTCCTGGGGTCACACAGTGTACAGAGAGGATATGCAAAAGCAGACTTTTTATAAATTGACAGAATAAAACCTTCCAAATACAAAGAGCATCACTTAGACTTTTCATACAATGAAAGAAATATGGAAAAGGAGCAAGAAAGAGGAGGGGGTGGGGAGGGGATAGAAAACAGCTTTTATGGTCCCTAAACAGCAAGTGAGTGAAATATAGATAGATGATAGGCAAGAGAGCTAGATACCTAATAAGTTAAGGAACAGTGAATTCCAAAAACCAGGACAAATTGATCCAGAACAGTGAGGAGCCTCGTACAAGTATTCTTTACATTTGAGTGGTAAATGCCTTGAATCAAGTTTTTCCTAGCACTTAAGCCATCCTAATGTGCAATTTGCAGATGGGAAAATTAGTTGCTACAAATAAGGCCTTAATATAGGTACACTTATCCATTTCAACTCATCCCCTTGGACTAGGAGAACCTTACTCAACTCCTTCCTCTGAAGCCAGCTAAAGAATGTACCAGATGGGAATTTTATGCCTTAGAGTCTGGTTTCTCTGTGTTGGATGAGAAGGTAACTAGAGCCAGATGATATTGTTGGCATGGGATGACAAGACAAGGAGAGGGATCTTCAGGTCAGCAATAGGGAGGTAGAGCCTCAGCACCAATAGTAGAGAAATAAAAATAGGGGACAGGATTATAAAGAGGAAGCGAGACATATTTACGAAAGGTAAAGCTTTATGCATAGGGAAAGAAAATGCATTAAGGATGTAGAACTTTTCCATAGGACACAAGCGCACTCAGAACTCTGTTTATTTTAACCTGAAAGAGTTCTCGGCAAGAAGGGATTGGGATGGGGAATCTTACTAAAGTAAACTCTGCTGGCACAGAAAAGCCTCGAAAGAACGAAGCAGCTCCTCATTCTAGGAAGACGTAGCAGTGGAGACTCTGCCCCGTTCACATGCTGAGCCTGCTCCTGGCACAGGTGTTGTGCACACTGGGGCTTAACAGTGGGATTGTCACTGCTGCCACGTGCCTTTCAAAGCCATCCGAGACACCACAGGTGATGTGAACTTCTGCACTTGGGCTCTCATGCCCGGGCCAGGCTCTGCCTTTTCCTGATAGGACACAGGTGTGTACACAGAAAGGCTGACTAAAACTGGCCAGGTTCAGAAGGTATTGGATTTGGAAAATTTGTCATGGGCTATCCCTCCGACCAGTATAATTCTCCTCAACAGGAAAAGCAAATCTATGGAGATTTGGCAGGGGAGGCGGGAGGGGGGCGAGCAGAATTGCCAGCTCCCTGTCCATATACTTTTGATTTTCTGAAATAAATATAAGCAGTATATGAGTGACTTTCTCACTCCTCTTCTTCCATTATCTTCCAAATACCAGTGTCTATGTCCAGAGGCAATATTCTACTTCCAAACATTCTTTTGGTCACTACCCACAGTTAGAATATACTTTTTTTACACCGTGACCTTGAAATTATGCACACTCCCACATACACACAATGGAAATTTGGTGAAGCAGGACTTCATTTTACGATGTGAAATGTTCTTTGCTGGTATTTGTGTTTCTATTTTAGACTATGCTATTCTTTTTTTTTTTTTGAAACGCCATTATTTGAGCTCACTAAATTGATTTAATGTCATGACTTACGATTTGAAAAAGAAAAAAAATAACATTGACTTAAGCAGGGAGTTAGATTTGGCAGTGTTCTGCCTGCACGAAGTTAACAACATAACCAACTGGCCTGAGAGATACTGAGGAACGAAAATGTCTGATTGAGCTAACTGGAAACATTCAGCTGATAGGTCCAGCCAGCTCTCCAACATCACTTTGGGCCACACGGGCGCTTCCGCTTTAGAGGCCGAATGGCCCAGGAATCCAGATACCCACCCTGTGAGTCCTCACTTACTCTTGGGTGATGTTTCTCCATAGCCCTCAGCAATGCGCTCCACTCCCTGGATGGGTCTACATCGCGTGGGGATTTTGTGGCCTTGTTGGACCAGTTTGGCAACCATTACATCCAGGAAGCTATCTATGGCTTTGAGGAGTCCTGTTCCATCTGGTACCCAAACAAGCAGGTGCAGCGGCGACTCTGGCTGGAGTATGAGGACATCAGCAAAGGTGAGTGATGAGCTCACCAGCGGATTCTACACCCCGTGCAGGTATGGCTGTCTAGGTGCGAATCATGGGACCAAACTAAAGGAGTCTGTTGGTGAAGGACTAATTCAGATGTTGCCTCAATGCTCTGTGCGCATCCTTAAAATTGCCAAGGTTGGGGTGTTTGGGGAAACTTTAGATACAGGATGGGGTCAAAAGTGTATGGTCACTGTGTTAGTTATCATGGACAGAGTCCTCTAAAGGTTTTTACCAGTCCCCATGCGTTCTGCTCTCATAGCAGGGGCAAAGCGTTCGACTGTTCTTGTGGAACAGGGGAGAAGCAGGAGAGTGTCACAGTCTCCCCCTCTATGTCCTGCTTCTGCCCTCCCTGGCTGGCAACCCCTTCCAATAACCACAGAGCAAACCTCTTCTCACTCTATCCTGATTTTAGGCACATTTTTTCCCCCACTGATTTGTGCTAAGAGGAAATCTCCATAGGCTCAAGTGTTTATACAGCTCTGGATAACAGCCTTACAAATAAATCTTTGTCCACTGTTGGATAGCAAGTTAGTATTCAGTCCAAGTAACTATAAGAAATTGGAATTATTCAAACCTTCTGAATTCACCTTCTGGTATGGGAGGAGTACTGGCTGGCAAATATGTATTCTGATCAACCAAGACTGATGTAGAATTGCCATTCATAGAATTTCTTCTGACTTACCCTCGTAGCATTCTGATGAGGCCAAGTTATGGATGTGTGAGTTGCTAAAGGGCAAGCGATGAAATTAGTGCAATGGAAACTCAAGAAGTGGGTCATCCTAAGATTTAATGATCAAGAGTCCCTCTGCAATGAGGGACCCTCTGTGTCAGCAACGCTGCGGTGGAAAATCTGCCCCCATGCCTGAGATGCTCTTGACTGTCTAAGCTCCATACAAATTTCTGTTTTGTCTTGCTCAAGAGGTTAGCAGAGGCACGAGGCCCTCTCTTGCGGTGGGGCATTTCCTTCCAGAAGAAGCAAGAGGCTTGTGTCTGGGCTCCAGTTGTTGCAGGCATTTCCCTCCAAGCCCTGATTCCCCTAAACTCAAAGACACAATCACAGGCTTCTAGTAGCCTTTCAAACTTCCGTCTCTGAAAATTCTGTTCTGATTCCAATTTGCCAAGAAAGGAGTGTCATGTAAGCAAATGTAGATAAGGCCAGTTCCAGCTGGCGAAGCTTTCTTATATTTCTATGCCAGAGCTTAGTGATTGAACCAAAAGGCTAATTCCTCCCATTTCTGTTTGCCAGGGGTTCAGGGATGGCCGGGTTCTGGGACTGCTGGGAAATGAGTCTGACCTTCCCCAGAACCCCTGGTTCTATTCCTTGCTTCTATCCCGAGGGTTGCAGCATCCTTGAAGTTCAACACTGAGCCCAGGAGGGAGATGTATCCATGACCTTGGCACTGTGCGCTCCCCACGTTGATCTCAAGCCATTCTTACCAAGGAGGAGTTCATTTTGTCACATTCCCACTGGTGACTTTAGTTCTCCTAAGTATTCTGTATACAACCCTTTGCCTGTTATTGATCTTAGAAGATACTCGAACATTTTAATATGTCTATTTAGATCTCTCTCAGTTGTCCATGTATACCACCACCCCCCTCCCAGATCTTACTCTGCATCACATAGAGTTTCTCCCTTTTATTGTTTGGTCTGCTTAGTACTCTTAAATGGTTTTCTCCTCCCTAGGCGCTAATTTCCTTTTCTTCCAAAAGCATGAAGTATGCTAACTGATGAAGACTTACAAATACATAAAACAGAGGAAGATCTTCTTCCACTTTTCTGCACTCTGAGAGGATTGCTCCAGAATGGGATTTATACACTAGTGGTGACAACATGACATAAAAGTGACATCTTGTTGGACTCGAGTCCTTTGATGATATGTTCTTGCCTCCTCTGACTTTCAAAACCTTCTAGTGAAAAGGGTTCCTCTGTCGTTTATTTTTGCACCTAAAATTGCTCACAGATTGAATAGGAAAGGAGGCTTGTTAGCGGTGAAATGAAGTAGAAAATACACAGGACTTACAGGTTGGGTCTCTTGGCATTGGTTGGGTGACTTTTGCTTAGTTCACTGTCGGGACCTCATCTGTAATGCCTTCTGTGGTTCCTTCCAGCTCTGATAGTTTGTGAGCCCCTCTTTATGTGAGCACCTTTCTCAGGCACTAGAGTCAAGATTGTCCTCTTCTCTCCACAAGTCACTACCAAATCTCTCAAAGGTAGGTTCCATGCCTTCCTCAACTTTAACTTCCCAGGGTCTGACACAGAGCGGGGCACATGGTAAGCCCCCAACAGGTGTTTATTGTGGTTATTGGTGGTGGTGGAAGCGGGGGTGGTGGCAGCTGTGGGAATGGTAGGAAAAGCCCTTCTGATGCGGCAACTTGCCAAGTGGGTTTGATTACAGACATGCAGAGTGCTCTAGTTCTGCCTGACTGATGAACACTCACAGATGGATATTTTTGGCCAGATCCTCAGAAGGCAGCCTTCCATCCATCATGCACTTATTTGTCATACTGCCACTATATGGTTTGGCCATACCAACATTTAGGAACATCTGTCTGTCAGTAAGTCTGACTGAAGCCTATGAAAAATAAACTTCCATTTCCATTGCTTAAGATTAGCCTCTCTTATTTTTTTTATTTTTATTTTTTTACAGAGCAAATAAGGACTATCAGAACTGAAATTTTCCAACCTCCCCTCTCTCCACTGCTAACCTGACTTTTATCTGCTCTCATTGTTCTTTGCCCTCATGCCTCAGAAAATGTAATGAGTTCCTTCCTCTTCAGGCTAAACTCTCCACCTGTACAGCAGCCTCTATCCCTGTCTGCTTCCTCTTGGACCCCACTCATTCAATAGTGTCTTCATCTTTCATCTTTACAACCCTTCAACCACTTGAATTATCTGTCTGCCAACCTTCTATCTTCCCCCCAAATAATAGTTTTATAAACATGCGACTCTTTTACCACTGTTACCTTTCAACGTATTGCCACCAAACTTCCTGAGCGAGTAGTTTATGCATCTTTTCTCTACTTCCTCAACTTCTTTTCACTCTTCAAATTATTATTATTTGCTTTCAACTCCTTTCATTCTACAGAAATAGCTCTGGAGAAGGAAATCAAGGGCTTCCCAATCAGAGATTCACTTTTCCATTCAGTGATCGCTTTATCTATGTCAGCTGAAGAATTCGTCCCTCTTGACCAGGTCTGTCTTTTCAAAAATTCTCTCTTCCCTTCATGTCCCCGATTCTGTTCTCTCCAGATTCTCTTCATAAATCTTTGGCCTTTATTTCTCATTCCTTTTTCCCTTTATTCCTCTAAAGAAATCATTTACATTTTGCTTATTTTCCAGAATTTCATCTGTAATGTTCAGCTCTTCTTCACTGTTGCTGGGGGATTCTCTTCTAGGTCCACCTCAACCTCCATCTCTAATCCTTCCCTTGAGACTCAAGACCTCATTTTCCCTTGAGTGTTGAGCATTTCTACCTGGGTATTCTGCAGGGACATCAGTGGTCTCCATCTTTTCTCTCTGTATCCACTAGTGGATTTGTCCACTACGTTGAGGGGTCACCACACAAAATGAGGAGTCCTTCTAGAGGCTGTCCTCCCTCCATCCTCCACGTTCGCCCATTTACAACGTGCTATTCTTTCTACCACCTAAATACTTCTCCAACAGGTGTCTTCTCCTGTCCATTTCCCAAAGTTGTATGAGTTTACAGTATCAGCTCTCATAAAAACTGAAACTGCTTCCTCATGTGTCTCCTTTCCTTCGGTTTCCTGCCATTCTCGTCTATTCTGCATGACAGTTATCTTCTTACAATGCCACTTAATCATATGACTCCTCAGCTCGAAGACCTTCATTAAGTCCCCCCGCCTTCCCAACATGAGCGTGACCTCGCTCCCTGTGTTAGTTTCCTAGGGCTGCTGTAAAAAACCGCCACAAACTGGGTGGCTTCAAAAAATATAAATGTATTCCCTGACTCTTCTGGGGGCCAGAGGTTCAAACCCAGTTTCAATGGGCTAAACTCAAGGGGTCAGTAAGCTAGCTCCTTCTGGCGGCTCTAGGGGAGGATCCCTTCCTTGCCCCTTCCAGCTTCTCAAGGCCACCTGGGTTCCTTGGTTTGTGGCCATCTCCTCCATCTTTAAGGTGCGTCACTGATCTCTGAGTCACCCAGCTGTCTGCCAGGACTCTTCCTGCGTCCTCTTTCTTACAAGGACCCTTGGGACTACACTGGGCCCACCCAGATAATCCAGGATAATCTCCCCATCTCAGGAGTCTTCATTTAAACATATCAGGAAAGTTCCTTTTGCCATTCACAGGAGACATTCACAGGTTCCAGAACTCAGGCCCTGGGCATCTTTGGGAGCCATTATTCAGCCTGCCAAGCATCCTCTACTCTGATACGAGGTGGCTTGCTCTCAATCCCGAGCCCTTGCATTTGCTTGCAGATGGTGGAAGGCCCAGGGCCTCCCTCCCTGCCCCAGTCTAAGGCCTTAGATACGCTCTAGTCTCTACCACTAAGCTTCTGTCTCACGCAGAAGTTGACTCTTGGGTCCCAGTCTTGTCTCCTCATGGGGTTCTCTGTTTTTCTCCTTTCTTAGGTGTCTGTTCAGTTGCCTAATGTCTGGGAGGATTTCCCTCTCTTCTTAGCTCCTTAGAATCAGCAAGTTAGTCTTCCTGGCTATGATTACCATTTACAATTAAGTGATACTCTGTCCCAGTGTCAGGCCCCAGGTCTGGGTTCAGGGTCAATGTTTGGAAGAGGGCTTTGATCCTTTGCCACACCCCGGAGCCTATATGCCCGTGCTTCCTTGTTGTCTATTCTCCCTCCATCCTACCATCCCCTCCTTCCTGCTCGTCCAGACAAGGGAAGCTCCCATGCCACCCCATCCACCACTCCTCCCTTGACGCTCCGGGCGGAGGTCTTCGCTCCCTCTCCCAGCCCCTTGTATCTATCCCTTGGCGGCGCTCTTCCCGCTTCCCTCTGTTGTCATTG